CGACAGTTCAAAAGAGCTGCTTTAACCTGGCGAAGGACGCCTACAGCTACCAGGCGCGCGCCTGCCAGGAGTTGTTTTTTGTTTGGGGTTTAGGGTTTAGGGCTTTAGGGCTTTAGGGGTTTAGGGTTTAGGGTTTAGGGTTTGGGGTTTATGTTTTGGGTTTGTTCCCCGGTGGCTGCTGTGAAGCCTAATGAATTACCAGACTTCATGCGCTGGATTCACCAGCTGGCTGAGCAGAAATGGCAGCAGAAAGGCACAAGTATGCAAGTCGCAACTACCCAAAGCCAAACGCCACACCGAGCACCTTTTCAGCGGAGTTCTTAGTGTTTCGGCTCCCACTACCAGCGTCATGGGCCTTATCCTAAGTATTCGTGGTAGTGTGACTAGGCTGGCCTCTTGGACGGATTGTAGATAACTTCGGATGAGTTGACAGGATCATGTTTGGGCACCTTTCTTCAGCAAAGGACTACCATGACGACTGTTGTCCCAGTGCCTAGAGCGAACAGTCGTGTTTTCTTCTCGAGTGGGGCTCAGAACGTTGCAAAGAGTTACGCACCTTCGGAAGCCTAAACCCTAAACCCTAAACCCTAAACCCTAAGCCCTAAACCCTAAACCCAAACCCTAAGCCGTTCTGTGTTCAGGAGTTGAAACAAAGACCCCGAGTTCCAGAGCACCAGGGCATCCTGAACTTTGCATTGGACCCATCACAAAAATCATACCGACCTCAAATGTTACGCCGTGCGCGCGCGCGTGAGTGCGTATGTATGTATACCCTAAACCCTAAACCCTAAACCCTATATGTATACACACTAACCTGCACAGCACTTATTGGCCGAAGCCATTTCTGAACCCCACGCAGAATCCCACGTTCGAGCGGCTTAGGTTCTTGAGGTTTACGGTTTAGCGGGGTTTAGGGTTTAGGGTTTTAGGGTTTAGGGTTTAGCGGCAATACCGGCCTGCGTATTTGGCACAGGGTTTTGATGACGAGATGTATTTCGGGGTGCAAGAGGGGATACCGATACCGGCCATAGTTAGTTCGACCCCTATGCAACCCGCAACAGTGCTTAAATCCTTGGCCCTAACTGGCAAGAAGTTAATAAAGAGATGGATGAGGGCCGCCACACTTTTGGTTCAAGGGGACGAGGATAATGATGTTCCAGCTTTCTTCTACTACAGCAGTGATCTGCAGAGCCCTTAGGGACATCGCCCTCCGCACAGAAAAATAAATAAAAGTGGATCCCAGAGTCTGAACCCAAAAGCCCTCTGACTACGTTCTAAATCCCAGAAATGCCCAAAAGGTCTAAGACTTAAACTTACTCCCCCCGCTCCAACAGCTTGAACCCCAAACTTTAATGACCAGGGCCCTTATATTAGACCTAAACCCTGAACCCTAAACCTAGACTCTAATACTAATACCCAAAGAGCTGCGAAACCCGAGACTGCAGTGTTTTGGCTTGGGTGTAGAATTTAGTATACTGGCCTGAAAGTGGAAGCCCAAAAGTTGGAAACCCAATAGCCGCAATCCCTAAGAGTAATGTATAGGGAATCCCAGCACTATTTGTCCTTAATGCGGTTTCGAACTTTTGGGGGTTTACTATACTATGGTGGAAGCCGGAAAGTTGGAAAGTGCGTTGCGGCGCGCTTGGACCTGAAACCCAATCTTCCAACTTTCCGTTCTGGGCAGTCGGCCACCCGCATGGTCTCCAAAAGGAGGAAGCCTCTTGATGCGATCTTCCAACTTTGTTCTGCTTGGCAGGCACTGCACTTCTTGCCTGGCAGCACCCTGCAACCCCGCATCCCGGGAAGGGCAACCCCGCATCCCCGAATCCGCCGTTGGACTGGGTCGGTCGTATTTTTGTCAGTACCTGGGGGAACGTACTTTCACGGTGCATCCTGAAGACGCCAGTACGTTGAAACCGGCCAAATATTTTCACGGCGCGTCCTGAAGACCCCAATACTTGGGGGAGAGGATTGTTTCTGAATCCCGGCTTTCCTTGGGGCAAAGCTCTCCGCCGTTAGGCTTGATCGGTTCCATTTCTGCTTTGACTCGGTGGAAAAAACTTTGATGATGCGACCTGTACTGGGGGGAAAGCGATTATTTCAGCCAGCACTCGGGTGAAAAATATTCACGAGGTTTGTCCTGGAGACGCCAGTACTTGGGGGAAAGCGATTCCACCGTGCCGTGGATTTTATCTGAATCCCGGCAGTACTTGCGGCAAAGCATGACGGGCGTAGTTCTGAATGCGGTTGTACGGTGGGTTTGCCCGTGGGTCTTGTAGTTCCAGTACTTAGGGGAAAGTAATCCCGCCGTGCCCTTGGGCTTTTTCTGAACCCTGCCAGTAGTCGGGGTACGGCATTTTGGACGTGGTTCTGAATGTAGCAGCAGTCGGAGGAAGGCATGTTGTGTAACCCTCGCGACGTGTTCACATGCTCCAGACATGAAACTTGGAAGAAATGAAATGTAGACGGCCAAACTTAAAGTTGGAAGATGTCTTGCATCATGCGCTAATCTCGGTAAACCATCTTCCAACTTTCCCGCTTTGACTGTACTTTCAACACCACCCACCGAAAAAAAGTAGGTAGAACAATGGCCCAACACCTAGAAAGGGCGATCATTCTACCTACTTTTGGGGGTCCACCCCAACACACCGAACAAAAGCCCTTAAAGGAACCCTCAAAAGAGCCCTTAAAGGAACCCTGAAAAGAGCCCTTAGAGGAACCCTCAAAAGAGCCCTTATATAAAGCTAAACCCTAAACCCTAAACCCTAAACCCTAAACCCTTATATAAAGGGGGCCCTTGCCAAAAGGAGAACAGCGCGAACTCAGAGTCGACCCCCGGGATCCTTACGAAGTACAAGACGCAGCTGGACAAAGAAAGAAAGGGGGGCTTAGGGCTTGAGGGTTGAGGGTTTA